TGCTTATTTCTTTCCCTTCATAACTTTTATAGAGAATATACAGAGAGATAAGTGAAAATATGGCCATCATGGTTGTAGGTTTGAGGGGCTGTGGTAAGGAAGAGATTTAGATTAAAAACGTTAGATCTTCTCTGATGGACACTATTTAAATATAAGCTTTTACAAAAATATAGAATTAAGTATCATGCCTGTCTTTTATTGTGTTATTTTTGAGAGATCTATACCTAAATCAAGAGAAACCAGCCATGTGCATAGTCTTTGTAATGCAGTACCTTTCTTTTTTAGGAAGTGGGTATATTTTAAAGCAGTGACATGTTTTGATTTTTTTTCAGGTTAATTTTTTAGCTGTATCAGAAAACTGGTTTGGTTAATGTTTAGTGAAGTGAATAAAAGCAAATACAGTAAGCTCACATCCAGCATCATCAGGATGTGAGGTTTTCCAGATAAGTGATTTTTCTATATAATAGAAGCATATAGTTTTAAGTACCAACATTTTTTTTTAAATTCTCTTTACCGAACACAAGCAACATAATTTAACTCTTTTTTAGTTCCAGTTTGCCATTATGATATTATAATACAGATGCCCTAAGGTGGCTACAGCTGTGTTTGCCCCTTGCCCTTCCTTCCCCTTCTAAATTTGTGGTTTCTTATTCTTTATGATTTTAAAGATGAACATATGTAAGAAGGTGACCTTTTATGATTTCATCTTTGTGGCATTTATTTTGTCGATTTAGAAATTCCTCCAATCCTTACCTGTTCCCTCCTCCTACCCCAATGCCCTTCACTCCTTCATAGTCTCCACAGGTGATTTTTTTTTTTCTCTTTTTTTTTCTCTTGCGTCCATAGGTGATTTTTAACAGAACTGAGGCTTTATTTTATTATGATATTGTAGATTTAATTTTATTCTATGTAAAAGGTGAGTTGTGGATATTTGCTGTATAGTATTGCAATAAAATAGGTGTCACCAAAAATCAAGAAGTATTTACGTTTTTGCGAAGAGTGTGTGAATTTTATTCTTGTATTTTGTTTTAACAGCTTAAGTGGCATCTATATATTCATCAGGAGTTATCTACTTTTTGAATGTGAATACATTGTTATGTGTAATTTGTCATGTTTAACATATTACGTTAAGGGTTACAACTGATTTAGTATGGGCTTGAAATTGTGAGTTATATAACTAGAAAGTTATATGAAATGATATATAATGAAAATTACATGACTATTTTAAAATTCAAATTACTTTTATAAATTAAAATTTTGATGACTTCAATTTAATTTTAGAGTTTTAATTTTAAATTGAAATATATTTTTATCTATTCAATTTGGTTATCATAGTTTTATCTTTAATATTAGTAGAATAAATGTTTTGGAAGAAAATTACTGTTTTGTTTTAAACATGCGATAGCTAAGAATGCAGAGTTTTTATAAAGATAATATTTTCTAATAGAATTTACCTTTGGTTTTAATAGTGGGCAAATAGGATCTGCTTTACAGTTTTGATGCATTTTGGTTAAAAGGGAGAGAGACCTGTACTTTTGTTATAGTAAGTTATCTGTATAAGTGAATTTTACATATAATCTGTATGCATTTGTTGTATGTATTTTGCTATGAGGTGGGAAGAACTAATTATAAAGATTCAATTAGGATATTTAAGAGTACAATCTGAGTAGAATCTGTATTACTTTAAAAATTCAGGTTCTCCCAAAAATCGTTTGCAATATTTTTTAATTTTATTAGGACCATACTTAAAAACAATCTTCAAAGGATAAAACCTCTTCTTAGGCTGGGCCCAGTGGCTCACACCTGTAATCCTAGCACTCTGGGAGGCCGAGGCAGGTGGATCATTTGAGCTCAGGAGTTCGAGACCAGCCTGAGCAAGAGTGAGACCCCCCATCTCTACTAAAAATAGAAAGAAATTACTTGGACAACTAAAAATCTATATATAAAAAATTAGCCGGGCATGGTGGCACATGCCTCTAGTCCCAGCTACTCGGGAGGCTGAGGCAGTAGGATCGCTTGAGCCCAGGAGTTTGAGGTTGCTGTGAGCTAGGCTGACGCCATGGCACTCTAGCCTGGGCAACAGGGTGAGACTCTGTCTCAAAAAAAAGAAAAAAAAACCTCTTCTTAGATAGTCCCCAAACTAGATATAGGATGGCAGGAAAAATCAAGTTTGTCTATCATGTGAAAATTTTCAGTGTTTAGTTCTGTACTAATTTAGACATGTGCTTTTTATTTTTAAATAGCAACATTTGTAAACTCGGGGAAATTAATGTAAATGTGTAATTTGAATGAAATATGAAAACCAGGTCAGTAATTCTCTTTGAATCAAAGAAATTATCATTTTAACCTAAAATAGAAATATCTGGTCAAGCCGAAGTTAGTAAAGTACTTGAGTTACGACATATTATTTATCTGTAATATTACCACCCAAGAAACTTTACCCATTTATTCTGTTGCTCAATGATACATATTTTTATTCACATTTAAATACAGAAATTTTACTCTACAAGGACTGAATATGAAATTTATTAATAAATAGTTCTGGTTTTCTGATTGTTACTTATCTAGTCTCTGTAGTTTTTGTTTTTTTCTTTTTTGTAGAATGGAAGCAGGCTTTTGGAATTTAGAACAATTATTTCAGTTATTTGAGATATGAATTATTTTATGTACATTGAGTTCATTTTACCTACTAGATAAATTGACTTATAATTTCAGACTTATATTTACTCAGAGAGTATTGTCTCTGACTCCTAAATCTCACCTAAAATACACATTAAAGAGCATTCTTTGTTTGTTGATGTTTCTTTTGTATGCCTATGTTCAACTCTTGCACATACTCCCTTGGAAAAAAGTTCAGCGTATATCAGTCCATTTGGTTTTTGCTTTAAAAGTACATTTCAAGTATCCATTTCTTTGAGAGATCCTAAATTGAGTTGTGCTTAGTATTTTAGAAGAATTAACTTAATGAAAATTCCTCTCTTAACACCTGCCTCCTCCTCCCATGATAAACTGCCCACATTATTCAGTCAATCATTATTGATACTGGGATGCAGTAAAATGAACAAACTTGGTGGCAAGGATTTAATTGATTCTGGCTTTGTTAGAACTAGTTAGTGATTTAGGTATGTGATTTAGATAAGGAAATTTATGCACAGAAAACTTACTTGTATAAGTGGAAATAGTACCTTCCTAATTTGACTTTTAAAAGCCAAATAATATATTTCAAAGCACTTGGAAAGTTTATGTTTTATAGTGTAAGTTGTTTGATTTCCCTTTCTTAATGGCCATGCGATCTCTTAAAATTCGTATGTTAGGGTCATCTAACAGAATTGATGTTATATTTTCTGATAAATTTTCTGGAGTTCAGATTGATACACTTAGCTTTGTTAGACTGCATTACAGAAATGCATACTGTTGACTGATTTTCTTATTGTGATGCTATTAAGGCATGTAGACATCTAGAGCTCGAAGTCTGTTGTAGAGTCAGCTTTTAACTTTTAGCTCTCTCAGTATAGGAGGTGATAGAAATTTTTAGGAGAGAGGAAAAAGATGAAACAATGAGTACAAGATAGGGGCACAGACTTGGAGGAATGGTTTGTGTTTCTGAGAAATTTATTTGTGACAGTTTATGAAAACTTAAGCTTGGACTTCTGGTAAATAAACCTATTAGGGAATTATTGTGTCATTATTATACCGCTTTGCTGATTATGATTAACTAATACAATTCTGTCTTAAATTATTCCATTATGGAAATATGTGGGTTGGTGCTTAGAAACTTTGTTACATGGTGATACTATACCAGCTATGGTTGTGAGGATTCAACTTTTGATGTGTCTTTGATGTGAATCTGTCTCTATGAAAGGTTGACCATCCACATTTGCCTGAGATACAAGACCTTCAGTTTTAAAACTGGAATAGTCTTGGGTAAACTGGGACAAGTTGGTCTCCTAAATTTAGTGGCCACAAGAGCTAATCCAGAGAAAGAAATAATTAGGATTTTGTTTAGTTTGTTTATGAAAAGAAGTTGTTTTGCTTGAAATAAGATTCAGCTTATTTACTAGTGTTAGTATATGAAAATGCATAAATTTCTTTGTCAGAATTTAAATATGTTTGTGAAAATTCAGATATCAACGAATTTTGAGGTGTAGGCTATTTTATTTTGACTGTTTGAGTGCTACCCATTTGCTAGCACTATGGCAGGTGACTTTATAGAATTAAGTTTTCTTCAGCAAACTAAGGTTAAACATTCCAGTTAAGGATACCAAAGCTCAAGGAATGTAAATGATTTCTGAAGGCCACATAGCTGGTAGATAGCAAAGGTAGATTTGGGTCTTAGGATTCCTGATTCTCAGTTTCTAGTAGTTTTTCATCGGAGTTAATAATAGAGGTATAAACTGGGTCCCAGTTAATATGGTAAGATCTACAAAGGAAGATCATCCCTGGTGGCATTTTAGACATACAAACCACTGGCGATGGTTAAATTTAACTTTTTAAGAGGGTCTAGTTTTAGAAGTTCCAATAAAAAGATATGAACCATTGCTTTAGAAAAATGTTGGTGTACCAGCTTTTGAATATAATTTCAGTGGCATTATAAATCAGATAATGAACTCCTGTATTGTAAGGAGATGTTATAGTCATGTTATAGTCAGTTGTCTAGATAGAATTATGCTGTTTATCTGAACTGTGTTTTCATAAGCAATGTATAGGAATAGTTAGAGAAGGTAAAATAATTTGATTTAGTGCAGGTTTTTTAAAAAATTCCTTATCACAGTAATGAGGATTTAATTTAAAAAGAAAGTATAATGTTTGAAATCTGTTGAAGAAGCAGCCATAAATCAATCAATCAATCAATCAGTCCTTACTATTGTTAGTAAAGGCTTTTTTGTTTCGTTTTGCTTGCCTCATATTATGATGTAATATTCCGAGACAATATGATAATTTATTACATAGTGATAAGCATTATCTTACGTGTAACTTTTAATAAAATCTGTATTCTTCAGGTAAAAAGAACGTATTCTCATGGTACTTACAGAGCTGGCCCAATGCGACAAATAAGCTTGGTGGGAGCAGTTGATGAAGAAGTGGGAGATTACTTTCCTGAGTTCCTTGACATGTTGGAAAATTCACCATTTTTAAAAGTAAGAGAAAACGATATCAGCAATCTAAATCGTGGGTGTTGCTTTCATGCTACAGGTGATACAAATAAATGGCCATTTCAAAATCAGAAAAATTTTGGTTTTATTTGAATTGTAGGTAAGGAAAGGAAGAGATGGGAAACTGAAGTAATTCTTGTGTGGTGTGTACACGTGACTTCTCAGGTGCTAATTATTATATAGTGGCAAAGCTAAATGGTGGACCGAAAAGAAACATAACACATGTTACTGCCACTTTAGAAAATTAGGTTCTATCTGTTTATCAGCTCTTTATAAACTGAGTACCAGAGGATTTAAGAAGTACAGGAAGGATGTTTACTAAATTAAAATGTTTAAGACCACGGAATGGCAATTTGGCATTGTGGAAAACTGGCCTGGGATATTTAACATTCATATTTTAGCCTTCGCTATACCTAGCTCAGTTGGGCAAGCTGTTTAAACTTTCTGGGCTTCAGTTTCATCATCCATAAAATAAGATGTTTGGACAGTGTATCTTAGGGCCCCTTTAAATTCTTTAAATAATTTCTAGCCAGATTCCTTCTATTTATTTATTTTTTTTAACACTCTATGCATTCCAGAACATGTTTCTTATTGTGAGCTGCTGGGGCTATCCCACTGAGAGAGAAATCTTTCTGAGCTGTGTAGTTAGGTTAATTATTTAATCAGTAATTCTAAGATCAGTGTTAAGCTACATTGAAATTTCGGGTCCAAGTGAGCAGCAGAATGTGACAAGATCAGTTTAATCTCTAATACCACATAATATATTGAACATCCCTTCTTCTTTTTTCACATTTTTTTAATTTTTAAAATTCGATTGATTGATTAATTGATTAACAGAGTCTCACTCTGTTGCCCTGGGCAGAGTGCAGTGGCGTCATTATAGTTCACTGTAGCCTCCAACTCCTGGACTCAAGTGATCCTCTTGCCTCTGCCTCCTGAGTAGCTGGGACTACAGGCGCATGCCATCATGCCTGGCTAATTTTTTTTATTTTTTATAGAGACAGGGTGCCACTCTTGCTCAGGCTGGTCTTAAGCTCCTGAACACAAGCAATCCTCTTGCGTTGCCCTCCCAGAGTGCTAGGATTATAGGTGTGACGCAGTGCACCCAGCCTCCCCCTTTTTTCACTTCTGCTTGCTCAGTTTTCTACTCCATATTTGTATATATCTTTTTCTTCCCTTCTCTTTCACCCTGTTCCATTGCCCTGTCTTTTCCTTTTTATTCCTTTTAAAGTTTTTGTTCCTTTTCTGATTTTCCCAACTAGTCACATCATGGAATTTCGTTGCATCTGCATGATATTTTAAAAAAATTACTGAATAGTATTTAAATAGTTGTTTCAATTTTATTTCCAAAGCAAATGAGTTAAACACATTCTTTCTAAGGAAATTTGATTTGACTATCCTCCCCTTTTTGAGGAATTGAATTTTTTTTTTTTTAAATACCATTCTCACCATTCCATGGGCAGTGGCCTTCAGTCTCATCTTATTTTCTTTTCTCTTCCTCTTCCCCTTCATTTTTCTCTCTCTTTTCTTTTCTGTTGTTTTCTTTTATAATAATTTTAATCTCTGGTTTAGGCCAACAGCCTCTTCAAGAAACTACTAAACAAATAAATTTCGATTTTGGTTTGGTTTTCCTTGTTTTTTGTATTTTTGATTACCAGTAATCAGAGAAGTATCCATTTTTTAAGCTCAAATTTGTTTTTATAGATTCTTATGGAAAGCACCTGCTTAATTTGTGAATTTACTAACATCATGTGACCCATATGTTTGGTAGAAGGAAGAATAATAAGTGATGAATACAGTGAATCATATTGCTGGCAGGGTCAGGGGACAGAGCCATCCAAGCATAATTATTCTCTTGGTGTGTTTTAAGTAGAACTTTTTGAAGCAAAATGTATGAATATATTGGGATATATTTAATATAAGTATATATTTCAAATGCTTAAGTATAAAGGTATGTGTGAAAGTATGTTTTGTCAAGTACATATTCTTTAATATGTACTTAAAGATACATTTTGAAAATAATTGGTTCCTATGTAATTGTTTGTCTCTAGTGTACACTGCCGTGGGGGACACTATCTAGTCTAAAATTAGAGAGTCGAAAAGACAGTGATGATGGCCCCATCATGTGGGTACGTCCAGGAGAACAAATGATCCCTGTGGCTGATATGCCAAAGTCACCTTTCAAAAGGAAAAGGTATGTTGGATACACATTTTTATTTCCAGGGATGGGTGTTTGTGTGTTAGGTTGTGTGTTGAAAATTGGAGAAGGGAGGAAGGGACAGTTTAGAGCATAATTAGAATGTAAATTTAAAAATAGTTACCCGTGGCTAGGTGCAGTGGCTCATTGCCTGTAAGGAGGCATGAGCACTTTAGGAGGCAGAGGTGGGAGGATTGCTTGAAGGAGTTCAAGACCAGCCTGGGCAATGTAGCGAGACTCTGTCTCTACAAAAAATAAAAGTAATTAGCTGGGTGTGGGGGCACACACCTGTAGTCCTAGCTACTTGGGAGGCTGAGGCAGAAGCATCACTTGAGGCCAGGAGTTGAAGGCTGCAGTGAGCTATAATCAGGCTACTGTACTCCAGCCTGAGTAATAGAGTAAGACTCTGTTTCCAAAAAGAAAAAGCTACACATGCTGATAGAATTCATTATACATCATCAGATATAAGTAAGACATGAGAAATGAAGGGAAATGATAATAAATTATAATTAGGAATAGAAAAATGTCATTCCCACAGAAATATTATCAATAAGAAATATTCAGAACCTGCATTAAGAAAACTAAAACATAGAGGATATAAAATAAGATACAAACAAATGGAAAGCTCTGCTGTGTTCTGGTTTGGATAAAAATTATTGTTCTTTAAATTTTTTTGCATTTCAATTGGACTCACACTCCCAGCCCTAGATACAATGATTTTAACATTTTATAAGAAGGAAAACTTGTCAGTGAAAGACAAGATAAGTGAAGGAGAGAGCTTATCTTACCAGATATTAAAAATTACTGTAAAGCTCAAATAGTAGATCATGATTTGGAATAGGATAGAGTCCAAAAATAGACCTGAATATATTGGAAATTTAATATATGAGGTAGATGGGAAAAGGAAGATTTATTTAATGAATAATTCTGACATAATTGACAGTCCATTTGAAACAAACCATAGGCAGAGCCCCTACCTCATACAAGAAGATTAGAGAATTAAACAAATTAGAGAATTAAACTAACAGATAAAACAAAATATTAGAATAAAAATTTTAAGCCTATAAGAGACCTTCCTAAGCAAGAAAGAAAGTAGCAACAATACTATTTGGGACAGAAGAGATATCAACAACAAATTTCAAAACTATGACAGACTGGACTAAAACATTTCTAACAGGTGACAGACTAAAGTTAGTGTACAAAGAGCATTCCTAAATTGACAAGAAAAATGTAAACAACCCAGTGGGAAAATAGACCTTAAGCGGTTAAGCATATTTTCAAAGAACTAAGGTATTAATATTTTTATCCATTATATTGGCAAAAATTATTAATAGAGCAGTAATACTATAGACTGTAGGTATGTGAAGAAGCAGTCTTTTATATATTGTTGACAGAATGATGAGCTGCTGTAATCATTTTGCAAAAGTAATCTGGCAATAGCTCATAAAATTTAACATATAACTCTTTGATCTAGCACCCCTACTTATGGTAATCTATTCCAAGAAATAAAAGCCCTAAAGGTAAATAAGAATGTTAATTGTAGCGTTGTTTGTGGTGAGAAAGAAGTTTAAAATGGTCTGAATGCTTATCAGCAGGGGAATGGTTGAATAGTTTTTGTACATTCCTATTAAAGAACATGGTGAAATATTTACAATAAAGTTTTTTTAATGTCTTTTGATCTGGATAGATATCCATGACAATTGAAAAGAGCCAAATGTGATGTGTGTAATATGATTGATTATATTTTTATGAAACGAAATAACATCCGGCATAAATGTATATTTGTGTGAGCACAGAGAAAGATGTAGAAAAATGTACACTAGGTTAACATTGATGGGGATGGAGCATGTGATGCTGTAGGAGATAACAGATTTTTCTTTGGATACTTAAAGATGGTTATAGTAATTACTAATTTAAAAAGAAAAAAAACAGGGACAAAAGTCATTGAGTAAACTGTAGGTTATATGAAGGCAGGGACTATGTTGGGCTTGTTACTAATGTGTCTTTAGCACCTAAATATAATGCCTAGTGCTTAATTATTTATTGGATGAATGAAATTTTTGAAGTTAGTTTATAACTTGGTAGTAAATGGTAAAATTGATGTGTTTCTCAATAGTTCTTAAAGTAAATAGTAAAATTGATGTGTTTCTCAGTGATTCTTAACTTCTTTTAGAATTTATGAGTCAGTTTCATAATCTGAAAGTCTCTTCCCAGAACAGTGCAGGTGTATGCAAACTTTTAGATATAATTTTAAGCCCCTTGAGGACCTTCCATGCACCTCAGTGTATACAACCCATGGTATGTGTGATATTTTCATATCACATTAGTCTGACCAACTGGTAATAACGCTATGCCAGGAACTGTGCTTAGTGCTATATATGTCTTAATTATCAGAATATGGTATTAATGAGACCAAATTTGTGAGCTTGAGAGCCCGTTAGCTTTCCATAGGAAGCAACGACATCATCTAACTTTCTGACACATGTGGAATATTAATCACAAAGAACAAAAATGCATATTTTAGTATTCGTGTGTGTGTGTGTGTGTGTGTGTGTGTGTGTGTGTGTGTGTGTTTTAAGACTATAATGCAGGGGGTACACAAAGAGCAGTAAATAAGTAGTAGGGATTAAGGATGGGAAATTATAGAACTAATAAAGTACAGTGACCCTTAGGAAGACTGACTAGTATAAGATGATACAGGTATGGAGGCAATCCAGAGTTGTCTCTGGAAGCAACAGAAAAACCATAGACGAAAATAGGTAAGATTATGACTCCTAGCCAAAGAAGTTCTTCTCACCCTTTTCCCCTTCTACAGCAAAATTGGAGAGGTTTCTGCAATGAGTGAGGCTAAGAAGGGAGCAGTTTCTGAATGCACATGGGTTCTAGTATGTGAGCAGTGGAGGACACAGCTGGTGGGAGATGACTGTGGTTTAAGACAGAGCTAAGGTTTTCCTTTCTACCTCCAATAAACCATGCATGTTTTGTGGAAGCTCTTATTGCCTATTGTTTTCTTGCTAATTTATTTATTTATTTAGTCCTCTCACTAGAATATAACTCCCATGAGAGTAGGGATCTCATCTGTCTTAGTGTCTCATTCATTAGCCCCAGTGCCTAGATTAGTACCTGGCATATCTTGAATTGAATATTCAATTAATGCATTTTTAAAAATTACCTGTTTCTTTCAGAAATACATATATCTTCTGTTAGCTAAGTGATATGAGTAGGGGCATAGTTCCACACAGATTGTAGACCCAAACCACAGGTGGAGATGCTGGGTATAGGGAAACCTGGGTAAACAACACCATTTGTAATTTAGTTTCTTATCCAAATGTGTATTTCCTTACAACTGGCACTTTTGTGAAGGGCATATTAGAAAAATGAGGAAATTATATGTGTGTTTTTGTTTGTTCTTGTTCATTTTAAAACTAGTCATTGATTAAGGGCAGGAGATTTAAAAACTTTTTTTTGAATTATGTGATTTGAATGTTTGCAAGTAAGCCTCAGTATATAAATGTAATTTTTTTTAAAACCCAGAACTACCAATGAAATAAAAAACCTTCAGTACCTACCTCGAACCAGTGAGCCCCGTGAGATGCTCTTTGAAGACAGGACAAGAGCTCATGCAGATCACATAGGACAAGGTTTTGAACGACAGACTACAGCTGCTGTTGGAGTGCTGAAGGCTGTACACTGTGGAGAGTGGTATATATAACTATTGCTATGTTAATGAAAGGCTTTCTTGGCTTCAGAAATTCTTTTTCTTTGGAAAGTTTTTTAGTAATTTATCCTTTCAAAAAAAGTTTCATTTTTTCCCCCCTGTATTTGGATATCCTAAGTATATAATTGTACTAAATAAGACCTTAAATTGCTAGAATGTAGTTTTAGTCATTTGGGTTGACTGAAAGAATTAATTTCATTTTCTAAGTGACTAGAGGTGAAAAAAATTTAAAGGAAAACTAAGGCTCACTTGGTGCCTGTTTATGAGTGTCATCTAATTTAATTTTTCTCAACAACTATTTGGCCCATATTTATCCCATAAGGAAACTAAGGCTCAGGGCAGTCAAATAATTTGTTTACAGTCACATAGTTAACAAGTGGTAGAGCTGAGCCTGATTTCAGATTTGACTTCAGACTCTTACGCTTTCTTTCTCTTCCTCCTGTTCTACTCTGTTGCTCCCTTTCTGAGGTTTGGTATCTCTTTATTAAGTATTTGTTTGCCTGTCCATATTCATTTATCCCAGCTTTGCTAACAGGCTTCACTTTAAATATTTTGGTAAATTTAAAAAGTGGATTATTCTCTTTAAAATACATGAGATGTACTTCCATATGTTAAGTAACTTTCCATTTATTAAATTGATAAAACTTATATAGCAAAGCTTTATTAATTAAGTTTGCTCAGTTAGATTTTTTCCGAATAGATTATCATTTGAGTATGCAACCTGAGTTGGAATATGCTATTTTGCTTAGCAGTTGTATTAGATCTGAAATAAACAAGAGACTCTTCCTAAGTAAAAAGAAACCATTTCTAATTCTGCATATACAAAATAATATTGTTGTATAGTTTTCTAAGGTTTTATGAACAAAACCTATATTTTCTACATAAGGAAATGTTATTTTCAAGGGCTACTAATACAGGATTGACTCTTTGTTAAAAAGGGAAAACTTACAGTAATATTTTATAAATTAATATTAAGTGGGGGAGAAGGCCAGTATAAATTGGCTTTCTCTTTTTAAAATAAATGAAGTTTTATCACTGTGAGGTATGCAGTGTAGCTTAGTACTAAAGTAACCAACCCTAAGAGTTCCTTATGAAAACAATACTCTATAATTCAATAGTAATTTATAATTGAGTTGTGTTTAAGTTAAATGGTAATTTTCAAATATCCATGGTTGTTGTCACACAATTTTTATGCTTTTCCTATTATCTAGTTTAAAATATTAATTTTGTCAAAGAATAAAGGCAAATTTATCTCTGTAGAAATCATTGCAAACTCCTTTCAAATTAATGTTTTTTTTTCAAATGCTTGGTATAAAGGATTTAAGAGTGGCATTAACAAGATTTACTTAGGGTAAAATCTGATTTATAGATGGTGTTCCATAAAGTCAGTCCACATACTTATACTTCCTTTCAGAGATAAATATTCGTGCTTCAGAAGGCCTCAGCACTTTGTGTTTAAATCTTACACTCCTTTAAATTATTGTTGGTATATGCTCTCTCTCTTCTACTTTATATGCAACTCAAGGTTATAGATTATGTTCTGTCCTGCACAGACCTACCATAGGTCTCAGTAAATATTCATTGAATAAAAAACTACTTTTGTGGCTACCAATTTGACAGTGAAAAGGACTATTGCCAAACTAATATATCAGAGGACTAGATTTAAGAATATGCTTAAGCCAGGCCGGGCATGCGTAATCCTAGCACTCGGGGAGGCCGAGGTGGGAGGATCGCTTGAGCCTAGGAGTTTGAGATCAGCGTGAGCAAGAGCGAGACTCCACCTCTACAAAAAATAGAAAACCTAGCCCAGTGTAGTGGTGCCCACCACTACACTACTACACGTAGTAGTCCCAGTTACACAGTAGGCTGAGGCAGGAGAATTGCTTGAGCCCAGGAGTTTGAGGTTGCAGTGAGCTAGGGTGACACCACTGCCCTCTAACCCAGGTGACAGAGTAAGACTTTGTCTCCAAAACAAAACAAAACAAAAAAAGAATATGCTTAAGACAGATTTTGGAATGAGATATTGCTAGCTATGATTTTTCTCATTATTACAAAATACGGTTTGCTTCCTATATCAGTGCTGCTTTAATCTCTTAATACTAAAGATGACAAGAAACTAATTTTTCCTATTGGAGGGCTTCATGGCTCTGATGCAAATGTAATCTGTGATCTTTTTATTATGCTTTGATGTTACAAAAGGAAGTTGTTGTCTCCTTTCTCTTTTTCCTTAGTGTTTGAGTCTGTTCTTTTTCTTAAGAAGAAGAGGTTTTAGGGTATTTTTAATAGATTCTTGACTTTATTTTAATGTCAGGCTTAACATCAACTTAAAATAAAAGATTGGGATTGTTTTAGACTGCAAAGAAATCTCCAGCTAAATAGGACAAGGCCTGTGAATTATTGATCAAATTATATAACTCTTTATGCATTATTATGACAAGATTTACACAGATTTATATACCTGAGGTTGCTTCTTTGAAATCTAGTTTTTTAAAAAATCAACTTTATTGAAGTGTAATTTGCATTCAATAAAACACTAATTTTAAGTGTACAGTTTGATACGTTTTAACAAATACTTACAGCCATGTTACCTACACTAACACAGTTAAGTTGTAGAACATTTCATTTCCCTCATACTCCTTGACAATTAACTACCCCTATTCTTTCCCCAGCTCCAGACGTCTATTAATCTATTTTCTGTTTTTAATAGTTTAGTTTTGCCTAGCCTAGGATCTCATGTAGATAGAATGATATATGTGCATAACTTTTTTCTCTCAGCTTAAATTTTTGAAATTCATCTATGCTGTTACGTGTATTAGTAGTTCTTTCCTTTTAATTTTTGAGTATTATATCATTGTATGGATATATTACAGTTTATCCATTTGAGTTGTTTTCAGTTTGGGGTTTTTATTAATAAAGTTGTTATGAACATCTACTTACAAGTCTTTGGACATACGATTTCATTTCTTTTCAGTAAATACATAGGAATGGAATTATAGAGTGTTAGGGTAAGGCAAAATAATTGTATACAGAAAAAATTCTAAATCTACAAAACAAGCATTAGAATTAATAAGCAAATTTATCAAAGTTACAGGATAAAAGGTTAATATAGAAAAGTGAACTGTATTTCCACATACAAGCTATGAATATTTGGAAAATAAAATTTAAAGCCACAATAGCATTAAAAAAAACCCATGAAATGCTTAGAGATAAGTTAAAAAAACACACAAGACCTGTATACTTAAAACTATAAAGCACTGTTGAAAAAAATTAAAGACGACGTATATAAATGTCAATTCTTTCCCAAATGATCTATAAATTAACTCAATCCTAATCAAAATCCCACTAGGTTTTCTTATAGAAATGCAAAAAACCTAGTATAGGCAAAACAATTTGGCGGGGGGGAGGAAAGAACACTATCATTTTAAAACTTGCTATGAAGCTACAGTAATTAAGAGAGGTTGATATTGGAATAAAGATAGACGTATAGATCATTGGAACATTATACTGTCCTTTAACCAGAAATAAACCTATCATTCATTTTTGATGAAGGTGCTAAGATGAGTTAATGGGGAAAGCATTCTTTTCAAGAAATGGCGTTGGGACAACAGCATCATACGAAAAACAAAAAAGAAAAACCTTGACTCATCTCACACCATACAAAAAAATTTACATGGTCATAGAACTAATTGTAACCATTAAAACTATAAAACTTCTAGAAGAAAATGCAGAAGAAAATTTTGTATAAGGCAAAGATTTCATGAATTATAAAAGAAAACATTGATAGACATCATCAGAATTAAAACTGCTCTTCAAATGATACTGTTAATAAAAAAGTAAGCTACAGATTGAAAAGGCAAGTTATAGACCAGTCATATATATAAATATATATGTGATTTATATCCATATATATAAAGAACTCTTATACTTTAAAAATAAGAAAATAAACATCCCAATTAAAACAGGCAAAAGATTTGAACATTCATTTTACAAAAGAAGATATACACGTGGCCCATAAGCACATTAAAAGGTATTCAATATGATTGTACCATAAGGGAAATGCAAACTAAAACCACAGTGAAGTAACTCTACACACCCATTAAAATAACTGGGGAAAAAGAAAGACAATAGCAAAAGCTAACAAGGACATGGATTTATCAGAACTTTCATATACCGTTATGGGAATTATAGAAAAGTTTTACAGTTTCTTAAAAAATTAAACATACATTTAACCTAAGACCCTATAATTCTATAATTCCATTACTTTTTCTGGGATTAAAAACCTCTTGGTTATTCTGTATTAATATACTTATGATACATATTATGATTATGTTATATAGTATACACGTGTTCCCAAACTTAGGATGTTTCCACTTAGGATTTTTCAATTTTACAATGGTACGAAAGCAGTACGCATTCACTGGAAACCATAACCCCATTTTAAGTTTAACCCCATTTTAGTTTTAATTTACTGTGCATCTTGGACTTAATAGTAGGTTTGTCAGGATGTAACCTCCTCATAAGTTGAGCAGCATCTCTATATATTATATGTGGTATTTATATGATGTATGAGATACATGCTACATATATATGTACCATCTGTAATCTTTGTATTTATGTTGCTTGAAATTTCATTCCAAAATCCATTTTTGAGCCCCTCTGTAAAAATGTATTCATATATTCCTAATAAAGAATTTTAGAATTTTTTAGAATTATATTTAAAGACATAACCCCAGAGTACACCAGCAGTTTATTAGTGCTTGTATAATGAATGTCTCTTAATTTATTAACAGTTATTTATGAGTTTTATGCATCAGTGCAGTTATATATATCTTCTGTGGAAAGAAAGTATTCCCTTTTCCCATATTTACTTCTAATTTTTATATATTTTCAACTTTAGCATTTACACTTATGAAATATAGACCTTATCTTTAAAAAGAAACAGTTTTCTTGGTTTGCCTAATTTGCCCATTTAAATCATTTTAATTTTTCAAAATCTTGTGACAAATAGCTTTTTAATAAAATGAAATGAGTTATTTTTAATCTGTGTTTTGGTTGAAACTCATGGTGTCAACCTTTTGTTTAAATATGTAAAGTGGTCTTCCAATTACAATTTAACTTTATTGGCAAGACAGTACTTTGGTATTAAATATAAACTATTTTTCCTTTGAATTTAATAAGGACTTAACAGAGTGAAACATTATGGCAGATTCTTTATTATCTCATTTTCTTTTTTAGGCCTGATCAACCCCGAATAACCAAAGATGTAATTTGTTTTCATGCTGAGGATTTCTTAGAAGTAGTTCAACGAATGCAGTTAGATTTACATGAACCTCCACTGTCCCAGGTATAATTTATACCATTTTATTGTCTTTGGTTTCATTTTTATGATGAAAAAGGCTTATTTGTATTTCTTTTTTTCTTTCTTTTTTTTTTAGTGTGTCCAGTGGGTCGATGATGCAAAACTTAATCAACTGAGGAGAGAAGGCATTCGCTATGCCAGGATTCAGCTGTATGATAATGACATTTATTTTATTCCAAGGAATGTTGTTCATCAGTTCAAGACAGTTTCAGCTGTATGCAGTTTAGCATGGCATGTTCGGCTCAAATTATATCACTCAGAGGAGGACACTTCCCAGAATACAGCTACTCATGAAACAGGCACATCACCAGATTCCACATCATCAGTTCTTGGACCTCACACTGACATGATTTGTGCTGTAAGAAAATGCTCCTTGGATTCTGTTTTTTCAGATAAACTTCATTCTAAATATGAATTACAGCAGATTAAACATGAACCTACTGCATCTGTAAGAATCAAGGAAGAACCTGTCACTATTCCTGAAAAGACTAGAGCACCGAATAATACGGATGGCAAGAATGTGAAAACAAAATTGGATCATGTTCAATTTACAGAATTTAAGATCCACATGGATTCTAAATTTGAAAATAGCAACCAAGATTTAAGGGAAGAATTGTGCCCTGGAAGTCTCATAAGTCTAGTTGATTCAAGGCAACATAGTTCAGCACATCCAAATCAAGATAGAAAAGATGATGATGACATTTTGTGCTAAATTTGTACATAACATTTAAAATTCTTTTTTAAAAAAAATTTAATAATGTAATAAAGATTCATGAATTCTGAAAGCAAGCCAAGGACTTGCTCCCAAGTCTGTTACAAAATATAGTTTATGTAGCTTTGTAACATTCCTCAGTGCCTGTCCATAACTGTGAAGTATCAAGCACTTAGGGCCAGATGCACTGTAAACATTGCAGGTTTAAACTTAAAGGAGTCTTTAAAAAATCATTTGAGTTGGAATTATAGGTTTTAGAATAGAGCTGACATTAACATATATATATATTTTTTGTAAGATGAGCCAGAATTCTTTTTTGACAATTTAAGGCTTTTCCATAGAGCTTATTTATACCAATTTTTTTTTTCATTTTAAACGTGTCAGCACTGTAGTGTAAATAGCTTTTAAAAAATCTTTTTAGTGTGATTTATACTGAAATGTGAACCACTTAATAAAGGTTCATAATAATATGTTTTCTCTTGGATCTGCAAAGACAAACTGACAATTCATTTAAATCATTTGTTTAATATATTCTCTCTGCTGGTATATCCATTTAGAGTGGTAATGGGTTGCAAATGTATGTATCCAAATCTCATAAATATTTAAATCCCCCACACTGTGCAGGCATTTTTAAAAACCAAGATTCAGTTAAGAAAGCATATATATGTGTGTGTATGTATGGGAATGTATATATGTATGTCATATTTTGCATAATTTTCTTAAATTGCTGAATAAGATGAATATGTGAAACTTCTTAGCCCTGCTCCCTGGAATACATTTAAAAATATTTATGTTCAACATTAAGAAAGCAGTTTAGGTAATAGAAACAGTTTTAGAAAGTTGGGTTAAACACAGTATGTTAATGATATCTAACCCTTCTAACTAATGAAGTTACGTGGCCAGATTACATAGGCCTAACAAATTTTCTTTGTTGTGTATGGAATAAGAAATTTAGAAAATTTTCTTACTAATAAGGATTTGTACTATACTTATTAGTAGCTGAGTAAAAAGTCTTTAGTTACATGAAGTTTTATTGTGAGCAATTAAAATCCTCTTTTACATTTTTCTTGCAGAATGGGAGAAAATATGGCAAAAACAAAATCGTAAAATAAGGGCAATGACAGTGACTCCACTGCCTTATTCAGATATAACTAACAGAATACTATGTGGTACCTCATCTTTCTCAGGATCCCCCTCCCTACCCTAGCAAGGCAAATAACTTGGAGTACTTCCTTTTCAAAAGAAGCTGTAGAAAGTAAATTGAGGTAGGAGACAGGATTGCCAGTGCCTAACTAAAGATGAATAAAACAAATCTCTTTAATGATGGACTTCAGCTGCTTCCATTATTGTAATTAAAAGTCAAACAAAAGTCTTTGTATGTGTTGACAGAAGGAATTCTGCTTATTGCAAATCTATTTTATTTTATTTGTTTTTGGCATATTCTGGGCCTATACTTTGGCTGATGACTTTCAACTGGGTTTCTTTATGCTGCCTTTGGGCTGCTGTTACTATTTCCATTTTAGTAGTTTCTATTCTGGCCTCATTTGTGGTACCCATCAAAACTGCTTGTGTTTCTGCTTAGGGAGAAGCCATTTCACCAGAAGAAATAAAAATTAATTACAGTAATGATGGCAGTTCTGACCCCTAGTTTAATAAAAGGGAAGGCAGATATCATAGGAAATTGTGATGGTTTGTAGGAAATCAATGTTTGCAACATAGGAAGTTTTATGGGATAGGGAAGGTATAAATCATGGCAGTGTAAATAGGGGTTTTTGTTTTATATGTCACTATCTTATCCTGCTCCCCACCTATTTAATCTTATGTTTTAAGCTAAATTTATGGATTTACACCTACCTTTTGGGAGACAAACGTTCTTAACAAACTGTATTGAGAGGAAGGTGTGTGGTTAAAATGTTTTTCTGTTTTTTTCTTTTTTAATTGAAGAGTGATATATTTAACAAGATGTGTTTTATTTCCAGATTTCCAGTAGCATATACATAGATGTATACTGTAAGAAAATGTCTTTTGGGTATCCCTCCAAAATATATGAGCCTTAAACTTTTTTTTTTTTTTTTTTTTTTGAGACACAGTCTCACTGTGTTGCCCGGGCTAGAGTGAGTGCCGTGGCGTCATCCTAGCTCACAGCAACCTCAAACTCCTGGGCTCAAGCGATCCTCCTGCCTCAGCCTCCCGAGTAGCTGGGACTACAGGCATGCACCACCATGCCCGGCTAATTTTTTCTATATATTTTTAGTTGTCCAATTAATTTCTTTGTATTTTTAGTAGAGATGGGGTCTCGCTCTTGCTCAGGCTGGTTTCGAACTCCTGAGCTCAAACAATCCGCCCACCTTGGCCTCCCAGAGAGCTAGGATTACAGGCGTGAGCCACCGCACCCGGCCGAGCCTTAAACTTTTTATCTTAAAGGATGGCATATCTAAAACAACCATAGTGGTTGCTTTTAGGTATAGTTTCCTATATAACCCTTAGTCAGACTTACCCATAATTTGAAAATCTAATTGTTTTATAAAATGCATACATCTCTGTGGAGGTGTAGGGTAAATCAGTGGGCTCAAGATTTCAAGATACAACATTGTTATTGCCTTCATTAATGTATATGTTCTTTGTCTTACGGGTTATAATTTTAAAATCCTCTTCAGATGTACTCTGAGTTGCTGACTACCTTTGTTACACACAAAAATTTTCTATTTTAATATTGCATTATATTAATGGTTTTCTAGTTAGTACATTCCAGTTCTTTATCTGAATACAAGTTTTTTGCTTTTTTTTCCAATCTCTTGGACCAGAACAATAAAGCACTTAAAATACTTTCTATATGGTCATACACCATATAGAATAAATAATTGTTATGTAAATTATTAAATGGATATACGGACCTTTACACAAAACCTAAGGTACCTCAGTGGTGTCTGCTACAGTGCTTCTCCCTCCCACCCCCAATTTTGTTTATACCCCTTTAGTTATCTAAGAAATATATATTCCACACTCAGGTTAGCTGGTTAGCTAGCAAAAGAATTAAGCATTTGTGATATTTAGTTGCAAACTTTACTGAAGCCATATACATTATCTTCCTTGTCACCAAGGCTGTTGACCTTAAATAAAGATTAGGTTGATCTAGCACGACACTGTGTGCGTGTGTGTGTGTGTGTGTGTGTGTGTGTGTGTGCATGTCATGTGCGTGTTTCTGTGTGTGTAAGATTGTTGGCAATATTATGCTTGTTTCCACGTGTATTCATTTTTAATCGATTTTGTAACTTTTTGGGGGTGTTGCATTGTGAAGGGTGGGGAATATTTTTTAGGTTAAGTCTTTAAAGTATTTCATTAGTGTTCCTGAGTGTAAAACAGTTTTTTCTCAAATACTTATGGCAGGCAAGGACATTTTTGTAAATAATTAATTAGCATTGTTTTGGTAAATTTGCATTCATTTATTTTTTGGACAAGTTCATTGTCATTGTACAGCAAATATCTCAAAATTCATTTTACATTTAGCAAAGGTGCAAGATTTGTTTTTGCAGTTTGAGAGGTATTTTCCTTGTCTTCCATCTTTCAATAAATACTAAAATGATAACCATAATCTTTTTACCTTTGTTTTGTAATTATTTTCTTCGATTTGACATCTTACTTTAATTTTGCCATCTTTAAAAGTTGTTTTTCTGTCTTCAACAGAAATCATAAAATCTTGAAATTATTCCAATCTGAAAATCTTTTTCTTCTCTTAAAAACAAATTCAAAAGTTGACTTATGTCAACAGAGAATATTGAGGATTATCTAAACTATAGTTAGGTATGAGTGCTGGGAATGGCATGATAAATATTTCCCATTTCCCCTTTGCATGACTATTTCTGTCTCAGGAAGGGAGGACAAAGTGCCATTCTTTTTAAAATACTTTTAGGCTGCTAAAAAGTGACATGAAGTGTTGTAGGTCTTCATTCAGAGTGGTAGAATAGCTTTTACTCTTTCTCCTACCTTATGTAACTAATATGTAAATAAGATTTTACTGGTATTAGAATGCATTGTCTGTTTCATGCAATAGTTGTGTTTGATATGCTCGGCACTGACAGTACACTTCAGATAAGATAATTAAGAGGACAACTCAAGAGAGCTGTTAAGTCCTTTTACCTTCTGACTTTTCTGTTGAGTTCTTTCTGTAACCCACTGCATGTTGCAGATGGAAATTATTGCCTTTTAGAATGTCAAGCACACAAGAATCTAAAGCAGAAGTATCTTTCCCTTGTAAGTTTATAGATGTTGTATATCATATCTCTACTTGAAGAGCAGGGAAAGGAGGGGAAAACTTATCTTTCATTTCAGGTTACCTTCACTTCCAGCTCTTTGTGGACTTCAGACCCAATCAGGGAATATGAATTAGCTCAGTACAAAATATGGACAAGTAAAATTGAATTAGAAATTAAAAGTAAAATTTATTACTTGTATGTTTCATTACTATGATCTGTCTACCAGAAACTACACCGTTAAAATATGAGAACTCTGGACCCTTGTATACATTTTTGAAATTTAGAATTTATGCATCTATTTTAAAAATGTTATATCTGTGCTTTCCTATAAAGTTCACAGTTTTTATGCTATTTAAGACTATTAAGTGTGCAGACTGAGAGCCAAGTCAATATTATAGTCAGAAATACTTTGTTTAATATAGTGTTGAAAAATTATTTGGACAGATAATTTGATTCCCCCTTCCCCCAACACAAAGTTTCTTCTTTTCTTGAAATTGTATTTATTTGTTTTTTAATGGAGCCAGATTTTTATGTGAAACTTACCAAGTCTGTTGTCTTTAAAAAACTTTTTTTAATGAGTCTGGCTTGTTAATGCTCTTGTTCCATCTCTTTTTCTGAGTTCTTGTCTGCCTTCACTTCCTCATCTACCATTCATTCCTCATCTCACTACAACTCCATTTAAATCCTCACATTTACTCACTCAGCTGTGAAATGGTTTTCTCAAATGTCAACCTTTCACTGCCAAATCTAGTGGCTTCACTTCTTAGTATTTCTGTGTAACCCTTGCAGCACTTATCAGTCATTTACTGTTTAATCTTTATGACCTGCTCTTTTTGTTGTTGTTTTTCAATTTCTATGGAAGGATTCTTTGCTTGTCTACCACTATGTAAGGCAGTCTCCATGGTCTTTCCTTTAGGCCTCTACATTCTGTCCCTGAGCCATCTTCATGACCGCATGAGTTCAGTCAGCCTGGTTTTTCACTTAAGTTCTAATGATCATCTGGTCAAATCTAAATTCTTCTCTTCTGCTTTGCCCTCAAGCATTAGCTCTTCCTTTCCTCCCTAATTTGGTTATTGGCATCACTGTCTTTCTACATAGTCATCTTATAGTAATCTGATTTTTATTTTTCTCTGTGTCCAACATGAGATTTTGAGCTGACCCCAGAAATGTTTGTGATTTATCTACTACTATTGGAACATCACAGTCATAGTAGATGTTCATCTCACCTGAACATTTAAAATAGCC